GCTGTATTAAGCTGAAAATAGTTCATCTGCTTATGTTCAGCAAGCAGGGGCGGATCTACTGGGGTGGCATGGGGTGGCAGTTGCCACCCCTAAGGAGAGCCTTGCCACCCCTGTTGCCACCCCAGCTAGCGACAATGAATTCAATAAATAGTTATGGCAAATCGGACATTAAGCGCATGAAACTCTTTTTTCCGACAACATTGAATGCAACACAATGTAACCTGACCACCACTGCTAAGTAGCGGGAAGTGCGAGAGAAGGACAGAGCGCGAGCCAGCAGCATTGATGGATATTACTGGACAGGACATTACGTGATTTATCGTAAGTCACACATGCGCCATTGCTGTCCATTGAGTCAGGAATATCGGTGGTCAGGAAAATACCACAATCACGCAAAGAATCAGAGCAACGGACGCAACGTTTAACAGTTAATTCAACCATAGATAATGGTAATAAGGGCTTCAGATTTCACAGGTGAGCAAAACGTTTTAATTTAAAGAAAACATTGAACAAGTGAGCAGTATTGACTTTGATAACCTTAACATGTGCTGCGCAGTTCGGTGTGTTTTGGTTCCGTTAGCACTAAACTAAGACAACCCACACACCAAGTCATCAGCTAATCAACCACCCGCGGTGGTCAGGCAAAAACTTATGAATAATGACAATATATAGACATCAAGCCTGACAACAAAATGTAACAGACTGAATGTTCTATTTTGGTGTTTTTGATACTTTTTTGTGTGGGAAATGTTTGTTTTTTTTGGTGTTGATTCTCCTGATCGGTAATCTCTACTCTATCTGCTGATTGAGCTGTTGTTTGTCGGTTGCCATGGCAACGGGTCCGTGCGAAATGCCGACACACAGAGCGAGAAAAGGTGGAATAGAAGAGGTTCTGTCTAGTTTGGTTCTTCACCTGTTTATCAACTTTATTGCACCTTTATTGTGGCGCACTGCAGCCGCTGCAATTCCTAACAGTTAAACAAGCGACAAAAACTGAACTAATCCCCTCTGTTTGTAAAACGAGGTCATATTTATACCAGTCGTCAAACTACGGCTCCTACAGCATTTAAAATAAAACGATTGACCAACATAAGAAAAATCCTCCCTTTTTGCATCTTGACAGAACTAACAGAAATCAAACTGTTTATAGATTGGTATCATGGAGAATTTATCAAACATCAGTTTTCTCATCTTTATTTTAAGTCGTATTTAATAGTATACCTGATAACAAATGATAGCGCTACTAATATTTTTGTGACAGATTTCTGCTTGTCCTGCATTGGGATAAAATGGTTTTCTGGACACAATGAATCACATAGCGGCTAGTCCAATCCAGTAATACATATCAATTAGCAGCAGTATGAAATACATAAAAATAATTAACTGTACTATATTAAGAAATTATATTTAATCCTCACTGCTACATGAAGCTCATTTTGAAACAGTGCAAATTAAAAACAATATTTTGCAACAAGTAAATCAAGTAAATTAAGTCTAATGTTAGATTCTGTGTAAGCCAAATGTGAGAGTGAGACATATTATCTATCTATCTATAGAGAGACAGATACATACATAGATACATCGATTCTGGGATATGCTGCCACCCCTGAAAAAATCCCTGCCCCCCTCTTACCACCCCATAAATATTTTGCTAGATCCGCCCCTGGAAAGAAATAAAAATACATCCAAATTATTTGGACTATTTCTGAGTTATTATCGCGGGGTAATAAGTCACCTGACAGTTTTGATTGTGTCTCTATTGTGTACGTCTGAATAGTTTAAAGGGCTGCTTCCAGTGCCGTTCCATCTTTGACTTAACAGACATAAACATGCAGTGAATAAATCGATTTTCAATCAGTTTTTTTGCACCAAAGAGTTACCGTATTTTCCGCATTATAAGACGCACCGGATTATAAGGCGCACCTTCAATGAAAGGCCTATTTTAAAACTTTTTTCATATATAAGACGCACCGCATTATAAGGCGCATAGAATAGACGCTACAGTAGAGGCTGGAGTTACGTTATGCATCCACTAGATGGAGCTGCACTACAGGGAATATCAACAAAACAGTCCGACTCCGGTTGGTTAGGAGAGCCTCCTGCGACTGGGCCGAGGCGTGGCCGGACGATGGTCACCCTTCTCTGTTCATGCACAGCATGTTCGTGGAGAAAGTGGTGCTAAATTACCTGCAGACAACCTGATTATAGACGATCGGTAGGTAGACAGGTCAGTCAAAGTTTATTAACAAACCAGCATTCTGACAACTATCCCAGCATGCACCGCGCGCTTCTTCTTCTATGGGCGAAAATGAAGTCGGCGGCTGCTTACCGTAGTTGCTAGACCTGCTGTGGCTCAATATTGGTCCATATATAAGGCACACCGGATTATAAGGCGCACTGTCGGCTTTTGAGGAAATTTAAAGTTTTTAGGTGCGCCTTATAGTGAGGAAAATACGGTAATAATAATAAACATGTTTTATTATTATAAAACACGACAGGTGATACCCGCACTGGGTTAACTCGGGGAATCTCATCTGTCCGTGTATCAATCAACTCCAAACCTCTTCTTTGTTCTGTCACAATTATCGATTTATTCCACTTGATGACAGTCACCTCCACATCGACACACCCACCACCAGGTGTCAAAGCCGCTGCTCCTATCATATCAATAATTACTTATTTTATTCATATGGCTCTTAGAGACCTTTAGTGAAAACGTGTTTTATGCAAAAAACTGATTGAAAATCAATTAATTTACTGCATTATGTCTGTTAAGGCTCAGATGGAACGTCACTGAAAGCAGCCCTTTAAACCATTCAGACAAACACAACAGAGACACAATCAGATGACCTATTACCCCACGATAATAACTGTATTTTTATTTCTTTCCTACTTACGGAAAGTTTCTGTTTATATCATAGGTTTGTAGTGCATTTCTATACTAAAGAAAAAGATATAAAACGTCAGATATTTCACAATGAGATATTAACATTCATGGAAAAACCTTTCATAACCTTGTATTAAAGCAGAAAGTACGGCAGCAACCTTAAAAAAGGTTTACAGTATTCAATTATGCCGCATGAACTGATCAGTAGATTATTGTGAGGGAACTCAAAACCTTTTGCGAGGGGACGCAAAAGAAAAAAAAAATTCCCCATGTCCCCTGGAGGGCTCCGTAGGTTTGGATATCTTTTTGGCCCTGTGATAAAATTTGTATTTTGTTTTTACATAGGTTTTTTTATTTTTTACTTTTTTGTCTGAACATAAAATTAGTTTGATCTGAAACATTTAACTGTCATAAAACAAAACTTATACAGGACTTTAAGTTTCTGTGGTATGAGCAAAATGAATTTATATTTTTCTGATTTATTAGCTAAATTCATTATCTGGCTCCTTCAGAAAATGTGACAGTATACGTTTCTGCCAAAATAAACCAATTCTTATGAAACTTTCTAAAATACAGATTTTTTAATATAGTTCTTTAAAGGTAGAACATTAATTTGACCATCTTGCTTTCTGTAACTTCCAGTTACATCATTTATTCCAGAAGAAATTCTGCCTGGATGAAGTATGCATATTATTAGCCATAAGCTTAATTGTATATATATGTTCCACTTCATTAGTTTAGTTTAACTCAGCCCTAAAGAAACCTATAAAGCTGCCTACTGTCCAACCAAATTATTAAAGAATTTAGAACAGAGTGTGGTACCATCATTAAAATTAATTTGTCAGGCTCTTCAGGCAGAAAAGAAAGATGCAGCTGAGGACATGACTGGAAAGATGAAGGAGAAGAATGACCAAAAGGGAGAGGCAGTGGTTCTGGACAAGGAGGAGGACAAAGAAAAGGAATTTGGTTCTGAAAGAAGGGGTAAGGAAGATAAGGAGAAGACAACAGAGGAGGAGGCCAAGACTCCCAGAGCTCCACGCCGACCAAAGACACTGCAGATCAAAGTCACACTGCTGGATGACGCTCTGTTTGAGTGCGAGTTGGATGTAAGGATTTTTTTCCCCCCCTTTTAACCACAGTGTAAGATTTTTGTTGCTGTTGTTGCTTTTGACAATCATACTTTATTTGCTATATAAAAATTTTATTAGTCAGAAAACTGGTACACCAAACAGCATTATGAATGTGAGCAGCACTGGTTTCCAATGATGTCATATGTCTAAACTGTAAAAACATAAAAACTAAAATAATGTTTTTAAAAATAAAAAATGTTTTTTGAGAATAGACTTAGACAATTACTACTAGAGTACACCAAGATTTAAAGCTGCAGTAAGTAACTTTTATAAAATAATTACTTTTTTCTTTGTTTTTCCTTTTTATTTTTTACATATTTCTTAAACTGACCATTATGTCATAAGACAATCTGTGTGAAAAAAAAAAACAATCTGCA